TTGTTTGCATTGTCACTGGAATTCATAAACAGAGTGAATGAAGTAGGTGTAGATGTAAATCGCTGCTTGGAATACTCTCATACTTCATACCTGTTGCAATTTGTTTGTGGCTTAGGGCCAAGAAAGGCAGTGCATTTGCTAAAAATATTGAAACAAAATGATAATCTTTTGGAAAGTCGGACAAAATTGGTCACGTTATGTCGTATGGGACCGAAGGTAAGTTTGCCTAACGTTCCAAATTTACAATTAGAAAAATTCTTGTTGTCCGTTTGGTTTCACATTAGTTAACTTTCATCTCGTTATGTTATGAATTAATTGGTGTGGAATTTTTTGTAGGTATTTATGAATTCGGCAGGCTTTATCAAGATTGACACAGCAAAGGTGTCTGAAAGGACTGATGCATATGTTGAGGTAATTGTGAACTGTTCTAGGAATCAGTAATTTTTAGACTGAACTTTCGAAAATTATTCCATGGTTTTACACAAAAGATTCATTGCTTAAAAACAGTTATGGGAGGAATCTTTGTGTTGTGATTTTCATTTCGTTTAAATGTAGGTGTTAGATGGTTCCCGAGTGCATCCAGAAACATATGAATGGGCTCGAAAAATGGCGGTCGATGCTCTGGAAATTGATGATGCTGCTGATCCTACGAGTGCACTGGAAGAAATTTTGCAAAATCCAGATAAACTTAAGGTATTTTATATCTTTTTGTTTTTAATTATCATTTTGTAACCATAATTTAGCTTAGACATGTATTTTTAGGATCTTGATCTGGATGCTTTTGCGGAAGAGCTTGCTCGGCAAGGTTTTGGTAATAAAAGTATTACATTATATGATATTCGAGCGGAGCTAAATCATCGATACAAAGATCTTCGCATTCCTTACGAAAGTCCGTCGGCTGAAAGAATTTTCACAATGTTGACAAAGGAAACTTCTGATTCTATAGGTTAGTTTGGAATTTATTTGTTTTATTCTGTTATATTCGGCTTATATTCGCTTGTCGAACTTCTTAGAAAATTTTAATTTAATTTATTTGAGTTTCATTAATCATTTAGGCAAATATGAAATGTTAAGATTTTAAAATTATTTTAGAAAATTAAAACTGTTATATATGAAATGTTGCGTAAATGCAAATGCAACTAGTGTTTCTCGTGTTCGCAATAATTTCTACGAATATTTTCTGTGAATCATTGAATGATTTTAGGGAAGCTTGTAATGGGACGAGTAATGCACATAGTCTATCGCAAGCCAAGAGATCCAGAAGAACGAGAACGGGTGCCTCCTATTAGAGATGAGCGTACGGGTCAGTGGAAATGTCAATATTGTTACAAGCCTGATTTCAATAATACAAATGAAGTGAGTTTTGTCTAATAAATTTTTTTGATTTCATAATGATAAAATAGCTATATTCTTAATTAATGAATTATTTATGGATTATAAAATTGAGGTATGGCAACACATTGATTCTTGTCCTGGTCAACCAGTCGGGGTAAAAGTACGGTTCGACAGTGGTATAACTGGTTTTATTCCAAATAAATACTTATCAGATCGACCAGATTCATTTGTAGACCCGAGCGAGAGGGTTAGAGTAAGGATTTCATTTTCTGTTTTGCAATCAAAAAGAGGTTTTGCGTCTCCCCCATATAATTGTTGTATTGCATTCTGTAGCTTACTTTCGACCATTTTGAAATAAAATTGCAGAAAGTTAGAAATTTTCAGCGCAATCAACCTATATATTGCCGAATACTGGAATTGGATCCAGATAAATTTTCGGCAACATGCTCCTGTCGATCATCTGACCTTAGAGGGCTGCAACCTCAGAACAGCGAATTCGATCGTTACTTCGACAAGTTGAAATGCCAGGTAATAAAACAAATTTAGTTGTGATGTGTAATCAAAACAGTTTTTGTTGATTTTTGACTTCTGATTACAGGATGATGACGAAAAGGATAAAAAACTAAGAGAGCAACGAAAAATTGTAACATATTTCGTGAAGAGGGTTATATCACATCCATCATTTCATAATGTTACTTTCAAAGATGCTGAACGAATGCTACAAAAATTTGAGCAAGTAAGTATTAAATAAAAATATATTTGCTATTGATTTCTAAAAATTTAATCAATTAAATTGTTTATAGAAATTAAATTTTTAGGGCGAAGCCATCATTCGACCTAGTTCAAAATCTGTTTCCCACCTAACAGTAACTTGGAAAGTAGCTGATGGTATTTATCAGCATATTGATATTAAAGAAGAAGGGAAGCAACACCAATTTAGTCTGGGCAAAACGTTGTTAATTGGTACTGAAGTATGTTCTTACATTCCATGCGTTTTTCGATCATGTATGAAATCGGCTGAATTTCCTATGTAATACCTACCAGTATTTGTGCAACGGGCTGTTGAATATTTGTAGGTCGAATCGAATAAATTTTTGAAAAAAAAAATTATTTTCCTTTTCCATTTAATTTCATTGCACGTTTGTTGACAAAGTTACAACATCTTTAGGAGTTTGAAGACTTGGATGAAATCCTTGCTCGTCATATACAACCTATGGCCGCACTAGCTCGTGATGTTTTGTCACATAAGTACTATTTGGATGGAAAGCGAGCCGAAGATCGAGATGCTATTGAAGGTTATCTCTTCGACGAAAAAAAGCGAAATCCACAGCGGATACCGTGAGTGTTTGATCACTTAATGTAGTTTTTCTTTTTTGTTATTTTATTATTATACCTAGTTAATTATCGCTATTACGTAATTTTTCTTTGATTTTCTTCATTTATAGTTATACGTTGACACCATCGCAAGATTATCCCGGGAAATTTGTTATATCATATTTGCCGCGTAATAAAGCTAGGCATGAGTATATGACTGTAACACCAGAAGGATTTCGTTTTCGACAGCAGTTATTTCAAAGTCTTGAAACTGTCTTATCTTGGTTTAAAGTGCATTATCGGGAACCACCACCAGGAAGTAAGTTTTATTTTCCCGTAGAATTCTTACTAAAGTTCAACTACACAGAATTTTATTTTCTACATGATAAGTAATGTAGAAAATAACAAATTTCGAAAAAAAAAAAGAATTGAATTGTTTTGACGCTTGATTAAATAGGCTGAAACAGCACTTGAAACTGAGCATATTTTGCAGTTAATATGAAATTAAGCAATGTAATGACTGCTTAATATATTTACCAAAATGTTTTGAATTTTAAATTGCAGTGTACCGTTGAAATGGTTGTGGATTTATGAAAATGGATGTTATTGCTATATTCATATCTTGTTGATCTTTTGTTGCATGTTGAAAATTTTGACTATTGAAAAACTCCTTGCTTTTAATTTATATTTGTTTTTGTCTTGTTATATACGTGTATGTGACACTATGTAGAAATTAAGCAATCTAATGATTGCTTAATATTTTTAGCAATTTTTCAACACAAGTAATATGCATTTTTATAGCTATATGTATTGCTTAGTTTTTGTTTTAATCAAAAGAACCCTTATTGGTTTTTATCATCTTATCCTCAACATGGGTTTAAAGGAAAAGTGAGATTTTGTTATATGTGGGAATTCTAATATTATTGTCCATAGCTCTATTGATGTCTATCCATTGTAAGGAAAAGTTGTGATGGAACAATTTTTGTATAATAAATTGTCATGTAGCATTACAGAAAACCTTAAAAGCAAAATCTTTGATATTGAAAAGCATTGCTGCCATTCTGTGGATAACATTATCATTTTTGAGAGATTGGTAGTTTTCCCAATAAGTGAAATGGATAGTAATGTTACGGATGCGGTCGCGGAAATGCACTCTACCTTTTATTATAACTTCTCTACTTTTGTACTTATTAATTAATAAGGATCATAAGTTCTTGTAAGTCGCCAGGAAGTAATATAGCAAGTAATCGCTTCTGACTTGTAAGTCGTAATTTTCATATGAATTTTCATATGTAGTGTGTAGTGTGATAATCCGCTGTTAACTATGCTCATCAATGATTAGCCACTGATAAGAGACGTGCTGAGTGTTGCTGTGTCGAAGTTCGAGAATGATATGATAGAAGTTGGATGTTAAGAATTGCATTGTGCGTATGGTTGAGACTCGTAATCAGATTCGTTTGCTGGAGTGGTTCACAGTGGCAGGGCAGTTGGGAAGGATGGAGAGAGAGAGAGAGGCAGGTCACGTATTAGACGTATATGGACGTGTATGCTTGCATGTTTGTGCGTTAACGTCAAGTCTTAGTTCATTTCCTCTAATCTTCACGAATAATTTGATTGATTATTGTAGAATTTAGTTTAAGTTTTCCTACATATCTTTTTCATTTCATCCACACACTTGAGTTTTATGTTTAGTTTTGCACTTTAATGATATTTGCTTGTTATTTTAGTTTAATTTCAATTTATAAAGAAAGCATGTTATAATCTTTGTAATGAATTATTTTGTTAATTATTCATTATCGTCCTAACCGATAGATCAGTCATCCGGGATATCATATGAACATGACTTGGTAATACGCAAACATGCTTGCATGGTACGCTTATACGTAAAGCTTATATTTTTACATCAGTTTAATCAAATTCCTTTAATCTCTTATGAAAACGAAAGGTCGTGCAGTGTCTGACAGGTTGATAAACATAAGCTCTGATCAATTTCGACATTTAACTTCCTATTTTTTTTTTTTTTTTTTGTTTTTGTAACAGCTATTTGATTGATGGGTAATAATTATATTTGATGCAGTAGTAATTGTCGTCACTATTGTGATCAACTTCATTATTATAATTGTTCTAAATCCATAATTTTTTTTTTTTTTCTTAGGGAGATAAGGTGATTAGTGATATTTTTTTTTTATACTGCTCTTTGTTATGCTGATGTAGTTGTTAGCATAGTCGAAATCATGATTATTAGTTGTTATGTTTTTACTACCGAGTTAACAGTTTTATATTGTTCGTTCTTCTCTTCTAGACAAAAAATATCAATCTAGGTGCTGACAGGAAGACATCCAGAAAGGACGATGTCGTCCGATATCGACATCATTGAAATTGTTGACGATATACCTTCACCAATGGTTTGCAGCAAAGAGCCAATCATTTTTCGCGGAGTTGGCCATCTAACGATGTTTGTATTTTGCATTTAATCCTTCTAAAAGTTCCGCTCCTTAATGTTTGTAACATTGTTTATTTCTGAGTTAATTAAAAAAAGAATTTCTTTTCGAGATTGCTGTGGCTGTTTTTCTTTTCCTTATGTTTTCGAAACACTTTTTTTTTTTCTTAATTGTAACAAATATAACAAATATTCTCTTTACTCTTTAATTAAACCAATAAAGTGTATTCTACCAATTATGATTTAAATATTACTGGTGAATGGAGTATTAGCCTTCTGTCATATCAAAATAATGCAATTATTACCAGAAAGTTGAGGAAATGCTCTAAAGCAGTAGTTAGATGTCTAGCTTATTCATAAATCAATAATTTTATGAATTAAATGATTGGTTTTAATGTTAGCTTTTAAACTTTTTTAAGGCGTGCAAAATAAAGGCTTCCTTCCTGAAGTTTTAGAAAAAGTGCTATAAAACCAAGCAGTTTTGATAATTCCAACATTGACCGCTGCTATTGATTGAGTGATATTGCTCGAATTACATAATTTAGTTCTCTACTTGTTAGTCGTAAAATTATTCTAAATTCTGCTTCATCAGTTTGTCTGTTTGAGCAGCCTCTTGTATGATTTAAGGTTCGGTCTGAGCTCTCGATTTGATACTGAATTTCCAACCGTATTAACCGGCCGTTTAGCACCAGAAGAGCTAGCCGATACGATGCGAAAAATTAACGGTGTGTTAGCAAGGAGCATGTCAGGAAATGTTCGTTGGCTCATTTGTGGATTGCTCTTTTGCTGTTGTACCGTCGGTTGCTCATTATGGCCGGTTGTTTGTTTGAACAAACGTGTAAGTTGTACAGCTTATAGTTGGCTATACTATTTGAGTAACTTTTCTGATGAATTATAATAATCTTGGAATGTTGTGAGCCGTCCTAATCTTTTTACAGATAGAAGAAGTAAAAAGTGTCCTTGCACATCTCAACATTTTATAAATTGAAGATTTATGAATTGTTACTTATATTGATAACATAACATTGTAAAAGAGCATACTGTATAAAGTAACGTTAAATTCCTTTTTATTCGCATCAGTTTCTTGCATCAGGTTTGTCTGGAAAAATTAGGCGATGCTATTATTATTTTCTGCTACCCTTGAAAATATTTTAGCTGAGATACTCTCAATTCAAAGTCTTCAAATTCGTAAAACTTTTTTACATTTTCTTTGCAACAATTTTGCTGAATAACAAATTCCATCTTTTTCAAACAATATCCGTTATATGATAATATTTGTTAGCTTGCTATATTGTTTTTCTCTTTTCTTTTCAGACTGTACATGCATTAGAGAAGTTATTGGATCATGAAAATCAAACGCTGTATAACAAATTGGGCTTGCATTGGCGACTAGTAAGGCGACCGGTCGAAGTTAATTATAGTATGACGGAATATGTCTTACTATTAGAAATTCTTCCAAAAACCCTTCTTCTATTGCCAGATTAGACCAACATATTTGTCTTTCCAAATAAGGTAGGTATTAGTAATCAGATTCAGTTTGGAAGATTTCTGTGGATTAGTTGAATTTCTATTTGAAATACTGCTTTTTATATGATTCTTTTAATTTCCCATTTGAAAGTTAGCGACAGTAAATGCGTAGACGAATTTACAAGCTTAATGGGAAGACGATTACAATGTATTTACAATTGAATCTCATTGGATCGCTGGGATTGAATGAATACTTCGTACTTAGAAACATCTATTAAATTTATTTGCTTTTTTATATTCAAATAGTTATCAGAAATGATTGATCTGTTTCGACTCATAATTTTTTTGCAGAGCATTCGAATTTATGTTTCGCCGATGAATTTGTTTGAGCTTAGAGTTCGACGGGGTGAAGATACTAAGAAATTTTCAAATTCGATATATTGTATGCTGGACAAATAATTTAAGATTAAAGCACAGCAAGCGAATTTAATTTCATCAATAGACCCTAAAATTATTGTATGAAAAGCTTGTTAAATGTAAATGCATATCCTCCTCTGCAGGCATTTTATTCGCATGTTTTCGAAAACTTGTGTACTTTTTGTTTTTTATTTTAATATGAATGTTAATTAATTATTTTTGTCACAATTGTTGCACTGTTTTGATCCTACTGCTTTTTTTCAGAATTATCTTTATTGCTTATCAAAATATGATTTTTCTTTTTTTTTTATTCTCTCTTATTTTAGTTTTATTTAATTTGCTTCACTTCCATCATTTTACGCTTCAATTTTTTACTTTTTTTTCCGTCGTTATTTTCTAGCAGTTTCAGCAGTTGTGCTTTACCATTTTTTTAAATAGTTTTTTTAAGGCCGCGGTATAAGAAAAATCAGTGCTTTAAACATTTCTCTTTTTTATTGAGAAACATTGCCTATTTCTCAGAATTCGTTCAAGTGTAATATTTGCTTATTAGCTATGAGTAATGTTTTTGAATTGCTTATCTCAAAAAAATCTGACTTAGAAGAATTACTTAGAATTATCATGGTATAGATAGCCTTTTTGCTCAGAATGAGTTTTTTTTTTCCTCTTTTTCATAAATTCATTTAACAGACATTAACAGAAAGACGTTTAACAGACTTCAGTTCTCTTTTTTTTGAGATTTTGGTTGCTCTTTGTGTTGTTGATTTTGCATAATAGAAGCAGTCCATTCTGCTGTGGGCTGCTATGCAAATAATACACATAGACTGAGAGACGGAAATTGCGTGTGTATCACAGGAAATTGTTCTTTTCCTTTCTAAATGTAGACAAATTGGAAGGATATTAAAGTTGCATTTAAGTATAGACAATTTCAACTCAGGAGTATGTATTTGTACAAAAGATTCATTTCAACAAATTGCTGTATATTTGTAAAGTGAACGAAATGATTTATTATATCATAGCTTAACACATACTTTGTTATTCTTTGATGTATTGTAAAGTAAATTTGTAGAAAAGCTTCTGTCCGATTGTAGTTTTTCCTGGTACCTTTGCTCCAGTCAGTGTTTTATGGCTATTATCATTTATTTGTAATTAAAACTGTTGTAATCACTTAAATTTTTCTTTTATCCATTTTGTCTTTATTCCTCCTTCCTTTACCTTGCTATTGCAAAGTTTTGTTTCTTATTAAAAAAGAAGAGATCCTGTATATCTTTTGTAACTTCCGGAGTCGTTATCATTACTGACGATATCATTCTAATACATAAACTTCATATTATCATGAACCGAAACTATGCCCAAATGATCTTTTTTCGATTTCAATGCAAATGTACGGTATGATCGTTTCAGGGTGCTCATCCATAGGCTGTTTGAGAATTGCAATAAATGATCTAATTATCACTAACAAATTTTCAAGACATGTGAATTGAATAAAATAACGGATATAATACACGGATATGGTAGAATGATAACAATGTATGAGTGGTATCGAAGAAGTACCATATGACGTTATTCACGGGAGTATGTAGATTGTTTCCTATATATTTTTCCTTTATCTATGTTTTATATCCCAGTTGAGTGCATATGTGGATAATAATTATAAGGCTATATTATGTTTTGACGGTTATTATTCGGCTCACACATAAGTTATGGGACACCATATCATCCCACTTTATTAGTATATCGCATAAGAACTGATGCTGCATGTAATAATGCATCGCATTTATGAATCACTCTAATTAATGTGTGCTTAACATGTATAATATTTTTGCACTAATGTAATAACTGACGTAGAAGAATTACGAAGCTATAAAGACTTGGAATAGTTTCTAACACTGAGATGTATGTAAGTTAAGAAGATGTATGAGAAATAGCTGAATGGATGTATTACAAATGATCAAGAATAACTATGAAGTAGTATTAACTAATTGCTGTAACAATGACTGAGATAAGGATTAAAACAGAGAAACGTGTTATGGTATGAACAAACATTTATGATCGCTTAATCATTTCAATTACCAATGATAGCGCTGGGAGGAAAATTTCATCCATGGACATGGATAGATTTTTATAGAGATGTGAAACTTTGATATTTGGTCCGTTGTTTATGATTTTGTAATTTGCTCAATTTTCATTGATTGTTTTAGGGGGTTAATTACCAGCAGTGCAAGTTGTTGGTAAATTGTATGTTTTAATTTTAGAAATTGGTTGTAAACATGCCAATAAAATCGTAAAAAAAACTGATTTTTGTTCGGAGAATTAAATGTAATTGTACCAAATAAAGCTGGATGAATTTTGTTTACTATTTAAGTTAATTTGCAGTCCCAACTTCACTAAATAAATTTTAAGAGGACGCGTGTGGTGTAGTATAATCTTCGGTCGCATTGAATTAAAAACATGATGCCAGTGTCATCTGCACAAGGTATTAAATATTATGTCGAACTTTACTGTGCCGTATTCTTTACGTCATTTTACTTCATTTTAATTGAGGTTGCGAAACTTTTAAATTGTTGCTTCGCTTTTTTCACTTATATTGTTGAAAATAGTAGTTCAACTTTCTTTTTTTTCTTTTTTTTTTTCACAAAAATGAAGTAGAGATTGGATTTAATTATTTCGTGGTGTAATAGTATACGAAGAAATAAGAGTTTTATTATAGTTGTGGAAAAATATACAGCTGAACCTAAAATGCGACCATCAGCAATTGGGCATTTCTTCTCGAGGATCGGTTCAACAAGACGTCGCAGCAAGAGTCCGCGAGATCCGTCGCTGTACTTGTCGGATGACGCTATCACTACCTATCCCACTCAGCCTGCTTCTCCCGCTTCTCCTGTTAAAAATGTGAAGCATTCAAAATTTTGGGTGTGATGACTGAATTTATGCACTAACTAACACTCAAAGAAACAGTAAATACAGTATATCACATTTAGTACATTTGTAAATTACAGCAAAAACAAGAATATTTCTTCCGATTTATATGATTCTGTTGCATCACTACTTTTCAAAAATATAGGAGCGATAAGGCTTAGTGCTGCTGCAGTTAAGCCCAGGTCTCCAGCACGGAACATTGCTGGGCTGGAAGAAACAAGAAAGAAGTGATAGTATAGTTATTGTTGCAGAGGGGTGAGAAAAACAGTTAAACAATTGCAATTTATGATTGAAATGATGACAAACTACAGAAACATAAATATGAATTGATAACTGGGAAATGAGGATTTGATTCAAAAAATGATTAATCATTTGTTTGATTACTGAGCGAAAAATATGTTATAAATGCTGAACAATCATTATTTTTTCGCTCCGGATGGAGTATGTAATTTTCTGTTATTATTAACATTAGCATAACGGCCAACTGCATAATCATACGTTGTTCTTTTGTCGAGAATTACATGTTTATTTGGGGATACAAATGGTCCCAGTATTCATGTATTTGTATTTCAGAAAAGAATAATTCTAGATGATAACATTTACAACTAGATTATATTGTAGAATTAACTTCATTTTTTTTATCTAAGAACAAGATATTATGATAGTATAATACTGTTTGATGTAGGGTGCAAGCGTTAAGGACAACGAATTGAATACCGAAAATGAATTGCACATTTCCCCGCCACCGAAACCAAAACGACATTCATCACCGTTTTTTCGTATCATTCATCGGTTATCAATGAGCCGTAAAACTCGTGAAGCACCTTCCATCACTCGTGATGTTGATAATTATTCACAGTCCTATCAAAACGACCTCAACAGCAGCCATGAAACTGTAGGTTTTCTCCAATTTCCATTTTATTTTATTGCTGTATAATGTCAACAATATTCATTTGCTATTATTTCATTTACGTAAGCAGCTTGCTCGGTCGAAATAACACCTTATATGTAATGAGCGTTCTAATGTTCTTTGAATTACTGTTTAAGTATTAGGGCTTATTGGAAGGGTTAATGAAGTTAAAATATATTTTCATTGACTGTTCAGGAATGCATTTTCTTGAAGGTCATCTAAAAAAAAAAGATTACATATTCAAATGTCATACTTAGAAATAGTTGATAGGATTTTAACAATTTTTTTTTTTTTATTTTATTGCATGTGATGTGATATTTTACATTTTTTGGAAATTCTTTTCGAGAAGACTTAGTGCAAATAATGTTTTTAATGAACTTCCTTGTCCTATTTTGAATGCTTCTAACTTTTTTTACTTTTCATTTTTCTACTTTTCACTCTACTACTATAGAAAAAAAGTACACCATAGACAAAAACTTTTCGATGCACTGAGAATTAGAGTAAAAATAATAGAATGCTGGCTTTAACAAATGTAATAGCCGAATGGAAATTAGATAGTGTTAATTTATTCTGCACTTCCAATCTGCAAACAGATAATGTGTGCAATGTTAAATATTTATATCCTAATATATTTTCCACTTTAAATAATTTATTTCACCGACTAAATTTAATTTCAATTTTTATCAGCATTTTTCAGCCTAATCATGCTTTGTGAAGTTGGATATTGTTTAAGTGTTTAATTTTCATGGAAAGGTCCATTTTTCTACTTCTCAAA